TCCACTTTGTAAGGAGTCTACTCCTTGACTTCAGTAATTCTGCTCTCAGGCTTCTTCCAACTCTGTGGCAGGTTCCTTCGTTGACTCTTCTTTCCGCCCCAGCCCTTAAGCATTAAGCATTAAGCTGGGGGAAGCCCTCAGGGGTGGTTCTTAGCCCTCTTCTTGTTCACCCCTTGAGCCACCTCCTCTGCTGCCATCTCCTCAGCCACCCCGTTTATGTGATTGGATTTCCAGATGTGGTTCTTATTTCTAATTTCCTACCGGACGTCTCCACCTAATTAGCAAACTGAACACATTCAAAAGGATTTTATGCAAAAGTATAATCCTCTCTAGGATTCCTTATCTCATTTAACAACCTCTTTACGACATCCTCCCGTTCATTCATCTTCTGTGGTTGATCAGTTAGCAGATTCTCTTGATTCTTCCTTGCCGGCATTGTGGCTCCCTTGTCCATTCTCCCATACCTCTACTTCCTCTCGGTACTTAGGGTCCCTCATTTGAATTTGCATCAAAGCTTCCTGCATCCCTGCATTCCGCCTCTAGCAGTTCCAGTCCATCTAACCACCAGATCTATCTCCCTGCAACACAGATTTTATTGTTTCATTCCCTACTTAAAAGCTGCCAGTGGATCCTAGCTTAGCAGAAGAAGTTGCAATCTTCCAATCCTACTGTACCAGCCTCATCTCCCACCAATTGCCTAGACCGACCACATTATTTCCTATATCCACGCATGTGTGTATGTGTATGTTGAATCTGCTGCTAAACAGCCTCTTTTGTCCTCTTTTGTGGCCTGAAAAAATAACATCGTTTAAGAGCCAGCTCAATCACCCCTAGCAGGTAGTCAGTGCTTGTTGAATGACTAAAGACTTGCCCCACTCTCTCACGCAAGTGGAAGCTCTCCCAGTCAGTTCTCTGGAGACACTGTTCATATCTCTATCACATTTGTCAACATTTGCATTCTTGCTGTTCATCGTATCAGGCCAGGCCAGGAATAGCCACGTGTGCTGCTCTTCCTCTTCCTCTCCCACAGCAGACTTCATTCCCAGCCCTCTTTCCCAACGAGCCCACACACAGCCTCAGAATCCTCAGCACAGCACTTCACACAGCCACTTTCAGCCGACTGCAGCTTGCACACAATGTGAGGTCTATTTGACATCCCTTGAAGCATACTCAGTGGGCTGCCTAATATAACCATTCAGTTGCTGAAATGAATAACAAATGAGTTTTTCTTTTTTTTTTTTTTAATTTTTAATTTTGGGTGTTTTTCTTAATACTAAATAAAATGTTGGTACTTTAATCTTATATTACCTATCTATTGTTTCGTGTTACCGATAAATCTGTCCGGGAGAATATATTCATGGCAAGAGACGAGCGAGGTGACTTGTTGAAATCTGTTGTTATTCTTTGCAAAGAATTCTTCACAAACACACACACTCAGTCCAGTAGATCGCTGCCTATGCCTCCCATCGCCCTCTCTCTTGCAGTGGGATTCAGCCCACTGCTTTGCCTTAAAATCAGCACACTAACTGCATCTTATTTCTTCTCACCTTGCCTTTGATTTATCTTACACGTTTTTAAGAGTTGGTTGGATAAAGCATTAAAAAATATAAACATATCTAACCTTATATTTCAATTTGACAATATCTCTCGGGCAGTCACACACACACACACACACACACACACACACACACACACACATAAATAACAGTGGGTATGGGTGATTTTAAAACTAGTTAAAAAGCACTTCAAAAGCTGCTTTTTTCTATAGTGTATAAACCATTTAAAAACACTAAATAGTAATACTTTTAGTAATCCATTTTCTTTATCTTTGAAACAGGTATAGTAACTTTCAAAGAGATGTGTCAAAATAATTAGGACAGCGTGAAACGTCTTTTCGGTGGCCCAAGTGAAAAAGGCAATATAATTAACATTAGTGAGTTCATATATGACACCATCCAGTTTCATTCACACCATCCAACTAAAAACCTTCTTTAATTCTGGTCACATGTCAGCATTTTAAAATGCAAAATTGGATACTATAAATGAAGAAATCAAGAAAGCTTGTACTTTCTTCTGATTTCCTAAATACATATAAGACAGCTGATTGTGGAACACTCAAAGCGGAAGATTCTTGCATGTCAGTTATGACTGTGCAATGCAGTAAACAGAAAGGAGAAAACAGAAAAATAAAAGGAGAGTTGGGTCTGTAAAAGCCTGCATTTCTAAAATAACAGTTTCACTGCATCTACCTATAGCTGTAAAGCCTATTCTGTTTACTTCTCAATGAATTTATGCTGTTAGTGAATTATTGAAATGTTTTCACTCACCTTTTTATGTATTTTCTTTCCTATTGTGTCCCCACCTTGTCTTGTCTGGAAAATCCATCAGGCCAACTGTCAGGTAGGTTCTTCTTGATGTTTAATATGGTTATTAGGGGAGAATCCATGGCAGGAAATGAAGTAAACAGACTGTTGGTGATGAATGATAAAACTAAACAGAAAAGGCACATACTAAATTACGGAGAAACTTTGCAGATGCATAAAACTGAAGAAGCCGCAAACTGTGAGCACATTAAGCCTGTGTGAACATCTATCATAGGAACTTGGCCCCAGGGAATAGAGCAGTGCTAAATGATAAAGTAGGTTACCTGGACTGTCCAGTTCTGCTGCAGCTCAAAATACAGACTGCTCCCAGAGGGCTTAATTGTTATAGAGCAGTATTAGATCCTATGTGGTCACAAGTGATTCTGCTGTAAATATACTATCAACTTTCACTGATTTGACCAGGTTCAAGAAAAATTCACAATGATGTATTTAAATCCCTATTTTAAGTACATATTCAGACATATTTTGTACCTTGAAGAAAGAGAGTGACTGGGGGAAAAGGAGGCACAGCGGCATATATTTTGTTAGTGCTAAATTCACCCCTGGAGTTAAATCTGACATGGTTTAACTCTAATCAAATCGTCACTTGAAACTGCAGTAGGAGACAGAGCCACTCATTTATTCCTTTGGTGTTACCCACATGAAGTAACAGAACAAGCTCTTTTCAGATCCTCAAGTGCAAGACAGACACTTTATAAGCCCAAACCATAACTAAGCCAAGAAGAAGAGAGACATATATTTAAATTAGAGCATGTTTGGGGTGTTTGTGTGTGTGTCTGTGTTGATTTTAACTTGAACTCCTTTTTATCTTTCAAAAGGAAAAATGATGTGCATCATTTGCTGTGCAACATAAACTGCTCTAATAGATTTCTTATTTTAATTTCAGAAGTCTACGGAGCAAATGAAGAAGGTCCCTACTATTATTCTTTCGGTCTCTTATAAAGGAGTCAAATTTATTGATGCAACGAATAAGGTGGGTACTGCACCTCTCTGTGGTTTAGACACCAGATACGGTCCTGAGAATATGATCTAACATCCTTTGCTTCTCATCATGCGCAACATCCCCCATTTTAATCATTTCCCACCCCCCAACTTAATGCTCCCGAAACGCAACTGTAGATACACACACACGCATGCGTACACACAGACACACACACACATAGACAGAAGGGCACATTTCACTTGGGGGACTTGATCTAGGATTCCTGTACATATTTTGCTGTCACTTGTCCATGGTGCCTTCTCTAATAGACTGTGGCCACTTATTATCTGGCATGAACCTTTGGATCTAGAAAATATTAAAATAGAAAAAAATAATGAAAATGCAGCAATGTCATCATTCTTCATCAGAGGAAATATTACCTGGTCAAGGGCTAGAACGCTTGTCTTTCCATTTCTCTCTCTCTCTCTCTCTCTCTCTCTCTCTCTCTCTCTCTCTCTCTCTCTCTCCATATATATATCCTGTATTTTGATACATGTAATGAATACCTGACCCAAAGAACAGCTTCTATGACTTTAATATTTTTTAATTGCATTTAATTCTCAACTACTGATATGCAAGAGTTTGAACTGTATTGTTTTCTTAAGAAACCCAATCAGAAAGCAGCGCAGGTCATGCTGGGACTCTGTTGGGACTTCGTGTTCACAGTAGGAAGTTTGGGGGCTCTAAGGTCAAAGGTGGACAACTAGGTTGCATTTTACTTAAAAAGTGTCATAGAGTTCCTTCCTTGGCAAAGATGACAGTGCTGGTGCTACACTAGAAAACTTAGGTGTGACCACTCTCTGTCTCCATCAACTCAAAACTGACTGGCTCCTCCTCACAAAACCCTCCAATGTCCACATGCTTTATTCCTACATCCTTCCATCTGATAAAGTGTGGAAGGAGGGGAAATGAGGTGATCCCCGTTGGTGAATGCCATTTGTTTTTTGGACCTCCCACCCAGACCCTCTTCATTTTGGAGAAAGGAAGCAGAAAGTCATGAAACACATGAACTTAAACAATGGTATCTTAGGACCAAGGCAATGAGGTTCGGATACTGGGGGGAAGTCCCATGCACAATAACTTGGGTATCTATAATAAATCTGAATCAACCAATTCGAAGTTTTCTTGATTTTTTCTGTAAGGAATCGGAGTGCTGCATTAGCAGTCAGATGTGCCCAAGCTTCTCAAATCTACTTAGGAAAACAACCTCCCAGTTTTGGAAACAGATAAAACCAAGCAAAAAGTTAATAACCCAGCATGGTCATGCTGGCCGCAATATCCAAACCACACTCAGAGTCAGATTCCTTACATGGAATGATTGTTTCAATTCTGCAATATGTTGGTGACGGTTATTGTTGTCAGGTTACGATTGTGGAGACTTAATCATAAAAACCCCAATTGATTTACTTCTTTTCCTTCTTGGGAGCATCTTTACTGGTGCATAAACTTACATTATCCTTAGATTATAGTCAGTTCAAAAGTTCCAAAACTTTATGGCACGCTCATTGAAGATGCCATTGCTATCACTGTATCTAAATTTCAAGGAAGACTTTGGCATTTGGATTTTTTGCCCAACCTGGAATAACCGTCCCTACCCCTACTTGCATTTGGAAACCATGAATAGGAACGTATTTTCAGTGTATGAGTTTGACACTCTCTTAGATTAACAACCTTAGCAGGCTTTGATTCTGACAGTTTCCAAACAAGTGGTGTTTGTCCTGAGAAGTTCCCAGAGTCTTAAGGCTGTCAGCCCATGAAGCTGGTGGCATGACTGGATGCATCTGTACTAATATCATGCTCTCTAACCTACGCTCCGTGATCAGAGGAACGAAGGAAAGCTCCGTCAGTTCTGTTGCATGTTGCTTATGGACATATCAGGGGCCATAGAACTTGATGTCCGATGCCTAGAGGAGATATTTCTGCTTCGATCACCAATAATTAAATGAGTTACCCAGAGAACTCTGCTCACAGATGAGTACTCTTTGGAAGTATAAGCACCAAAAGATATGCAAAAGATCATTCTGTGTGAATAAAGACACTAAATAAAGAAGGCCAGTGTATCTTTCAAGTCTTTGCACTGTGTTCCTCAGCATATTTTAAAAATCTAGAGCAAAGGCAAAGAGCATATGTTGGTGGCAGGTGGAGCCAATCTCTCTCTATGACTATATGACAACATGTGCCTGAATTTTTCAGGAATTTAGAGACATTGACTTCAACATTGATGGATATACATGGTCCCTTATCCCAGGGCCCTACAATGTAGCTGATCTACTCCAGTGTGAGAGTGAATAGGAAGAGAGTGGGTGACTCAGGGTGATAACTCGTAGTTGCTGTGTGAGAAGCAAAGTAGAGAGATTTTATTTAGAAGGAAAGAAGAAAGAAATAGGGCAAAGCCACATTGGTGGAGTTTGTAAAAGGCAGAAAAGCACTGCCACCACCAAGGCTGAAGGCCTGGTTTCAGAAGTCACGGCGGATCCATAGCTGAAGGATCATGATCCCTCAAGTAGTGGCGTGGAGGGAATAGTGCTCATATATTTAGATTCTGGCAGTGTCTGCAGTGGCATCTTCGTATGCCACTTTGTTCTATAGCAAAGACCAACCTCTAATTAACACCCACAGCAGGAAAGGAGCAGATCGATAAACTCCAGAGTCCTGCCATCAATTTGTACCAGAGATTTCTCCCTTAGGAAGTGTCGCCTTCGTGGCCACTTTGATTTGAAGCGAAGGACTTGGGACAGATACACACATTTCAAGACTTCACAACTTGAGGCCACTAAACCTGTAATAAGGCACAACCAAAAATGACACCTTAACATTTACAGTTGATATTTCCATTGTACTTTATTTTTAAAAAGTTCTCTCCTAATCATTGCATCTCTTTAATCCTGAGTGGTACAGTAGAAGGGGTTGTTCAACTTGCACTAGACAGAGAGAGTAACGGAAGGCCTCAGACCCTTTGCTAAGGCACATAACCGGTTGGTCATGGAAAACGAAAACTTGACTTTCCACCTCCTATCCTAATACTTTTTTTGTTACTTCACAGCTACCTTCCACCAATTAGTTTGAAGTATAGTGGATAATTATGTGTTAGTTACTCTTCCATTCCTCTTAGCCCTCATTAGACTATATGAAAGATGAATCCTCTCGCAAAGCATCTCTTTCCTTTTACTCTAATGAATAAGTGGCTTTGGCTGAGTTCAAGGGGAAGGATGAGGTGCCTAGTTGTAAACTCAAATGTATGGCCTAGCAACTTAGGAAACAAATCACTAAATCCTGATTCAAGAAGGAAGAAGTGGAAAACGGTCTTGAATTAAAACTGAGACTTGGAATTGATTTAGCACTAAGATGTTGTTGATAAAGCACATCAGCTTTCTGCTGCTCACAGCCCAGAGGACTGTGACTATTCAGTTACAGCCCCATCCTCAAGTCAGCAGGGTCTTCCAGAGCTGACACAGTCCCTACTTCCAGCACTTGGCTAGGGGTGAGTTGCATTTTGCCTTCCTGCTCTGACCCCCTCCTCCGTCTTCCCACCCGGATAAATCAGGAATGGTGCAGTGCCAGGGTTCATTTTTTGTTTGCTTGTTTTGAATGCCAACTTCAAACAGGGCTTATGCTATTTCGGGGGCACAAAATAATTCAGAACATTTGACTAAACAAGTGCTTGTTGTTTTTTATAGCACATACATCTCCTTCTAAGAATCTCAGAATCAAATTAAGAGCCCATAAGCATGTGTGCTCTTCTCATTGGCATCACTCACTCTGCAGTTGTCTCCAGTTAGCCCTGGCCCGGGGCTGCTGCCCCTATCTGGGGGGCCCTCTCGGGAGGGGAGTTGCATTCTCTCACTCAGCAAAGGCCTGGCCTGAGGACTCAGGAGAAATGCCCTGCCTGTCGGAGCCCCGAGTGAGGCAAGTGGGGAGAGTTCGATTTCTAGGCTCCATCACTTCATTATCACACGTCCTTCTTAGAACCTCTCTGTTCATTGGCTGCACCAAGAGTTCTCTTCTACACCTGCCAGACAGACCCCTCTAGCATTTTCTCAACACAAAGAAAGGCAGACAGATGGAAAAAAACAATCTCTCCTTGTTGAAGGTTACTGAGCCACCAAACTTTCTATTCCAAAGACGAGGCAAGGTGAGCCCCTCCCCAGAGCTTTTCTCGAGCCTTTCAAAAGCTCTCGTCTCCTTAGAACATGCTTAAGCAACATAAGAGTTCGTTTGAAACCGAAGTATGCCCCCTGTCCTTCATGATGACGTCAGAGTGATGGCAGTGTTTCGATAGTGAGATCCCAGGTCCTCACCACATTCTAGCAACGAATATGTATCAGGAAGTTCTGTTCGAATATGCATCCCTACACAGGCCATCGATATGCATTCATTTAACAGTATATTTTTTTAAGTGCCAGTTAGGATGATAAAAAGCAGTTGTTCTTAATTGAGTATAGAATATTTTTACTAACCTGCCTCCCCTCTAGTTTAGACCATGGGAACAAAGGAATAAAAGTTTCAAGTGGGAGAGGAGGCTGATTTTGGAACAGCATAGAGGAGAGTAGCCTGGATGGTCAATTAAAAGACAGTCCTGGGCTCCTAAGGAGTAGAGAAGTGGGGGAGGGGTCCATAAAATTGGGAGAGGGTCAAGAAAGACAGTAAAATTGTCTAAGTCCATTTGGACTACTATAACAAATTACCATAGACTGGGGAGCTTAAACAATAAACATTGATTTCTCAACAGTTCTGAAGGCTGCAAAGTCCAAGATCCAGTCACTGGCAGATTCGGTGTCTCAAGAGAGCCTATTTCCTGATTCGTAGATGGCCATCTTCCTTCTGTGCCCTCACATGGCAGAGAGAGCTGAGTAGCTAGCTCAGCACTAATCCCACTCATGAGGGCTCCACCCTCATGGCCAAATCACCTTCCAAGGGCTACACTTCGAAACAGCATTACATTGGGGATTAAGATTTCTTTTTATAAAATAATTTTTTATTTTTTAATTATA